AAAAAAAAAAAAAAAAAAAAAAAAAAAAAATCTGCTGCGACCCTGCCTGCTGCTAGCTTCATTTGGTACCCATTAGGTACCGCACATGACAAGACAATCATTAGCCACTGCTTTTTTAGCATTTCTGATTTTGCCTTATGAAGGTCAAAGATCCTTAGCTTAGTTAGTCATTCTTCAGATGGAAGCAATCCCATACCTTTAACTGAGTTTGTCTATTTCTACATTCTAGATATCTGCACATATCTCAGAAAGACAAAACTGTGCCTTAGATTTATGTAAGAGCACATGACGCTCTCCTTGTTTTCTGTTGCTTTTCTTACAATTCCTAGCATTAAAGTTGGTTTTTTTATTTTTGTTCATTAATTTTACTGTAGCTGAGCCGATGTTTTCATGGGTCTATACCATCAGAATTTTACTTCTCAGTGGCACAACAGATCTGAGAGATGGCCACCTCGTATATGAAGTTTTAACTTCGTATCCCATACACATCGTTTCATAGCGAACACCATCTGCCACTGTATTGCTGTGTAATCCACCCTCACAGGGCCCCTTGGCAAAGCCTCTCAAACACCCTGTATTCTTACTACCCCAAGTAACTCCATATGATCAGGAAGCTTTCCCACCTCACTGCTAAGTTATTTATAAATATATTGAACAGCACAGGTCTCAGCAGAAGTCCATGGTGACCTTCCTCCTCTTTGAGAGGACAGCATTTACTCCTAACTCCACTGCCTATCCTTTAGCAAACCACCTATCCATGTAGAGACCTCCCCTCTTTCCCAGGTGTGCTAAGTTTCCTTAAGAGCCTCAGAGGGGCCTTACTGAACATGTTTTGGAGTGCCAAATCAATGACATCACTCTTGATCCCTTCAAAGGGTACATCAGGTACTTTTTGAAAGAAAAGGAACCAACATTAAGTCTCATTTACCTGAGTTCTACTAGTTTTATTAACAGGCATTAGGTTTAGACATGTGGCAGTCCCCAAAACACTATAAAAAGAGTCTTTAGAGGACCTAGAAGACCTCATTTGATGTCCTCTGGAATCAAGGCACTTTATCATATGATTACCATATGCAAAACAAAGCTGTCCAGAGCATTTCTGATGTTACAGAAATAGAAGCATGTAAGAATTAAGCACAATAGGAAAAGACTGTTTTGATCAGGACAAATCAAGACTGCACCAGTATTTAAGTCTGAATGAAGACAGGTATTTCAGTCTTGCTGCCTGATTAATCCAGAGCTCTTTGGAGACCGAAGAAGTGGTTCGTTAGACTGAAGAATAAGGGGCACACAACTTACAACTCTTTGCAGAGTTAGAAGTCGTATCTGAACACCAACGCATCTTTTAAAGGCTTCTCAAATCTCTCTCCCATTTAGCACCTACCTTGGCATCTTCTTCACTGAAGAGCGAACACCATGGGGAGGTCACATTTTTTACAGCCAACTCATATGAGCAGGTGAGAAAAGCTACTTGAACAAGATCTGCAATAAATCCAACGAACAAGCAAAAGATAAATCACTGCTACACAAGTAGCAACTTTCTCTCAACTTGCCCCTAAAACAAAATGTAGTGCAATTTAGCAATGCAAACAATGTAATCCAATCACCGGTCCAAAGGCCAAGCACAAAAAATAAGCCGTTTTCAACAGAAGTAGGCATTGATCGCTAGTGCATTCTCATCACCACAAAGGACTGAGGAGCCAGCACCAGGAAGGCGTGTCTGTTCGACACAGAGCAGTCTCTGACTACCGCTACTCGTCCTCCACATTAGTGGCTGAGTTTGAACAGCAGCATGCCGACTTTGAGACTGTGGCTTTAGGGACATGCTGGAAACGACAGCAACACCTGTTGCTCCGCCCTGACTTGACCACACAGGGAAGCCTGGCACTTCTCTTCTGGACAAGTGAGGTTACAACACGGACATACCTGCCCATCTTTTCCTGAGGCTATTTGTGTGTTTGAATTGTAACAGGTTTTACAAAAGCTGCATCTGCTCAACAAAGCAGAATTAAAAGAATAACACACTTGTATCCCTGAAAACAAAGGTAAAGTTGATTTCATCTGTAGGAAAGATATTTTCAAACGTTTTTTTCTTCCAATCACTGACTAACAAGCATTCATTACTGCAACACCAGAACACATTTGCATGCTTATGCATTTAATTAGAGACTGCGTCTCCGATTCACACCATATTTCAAATTACCTACTCTGCATAACTACACAGCACCTCGGAAATTGTTCTCAGCCAGACTCGGAGCCAAAGCCACCTGTAACAGGCATTCATTACCTGCGTTCAGCTCCTCCACGGGCAAACACAAAGCACTCGCAACCTTCTCCAAGACCTTCCTCATCTCCGGCCCCTCTTTGAAGGCATCCACCTGGCACATCGCCGCATCGTTCTCCTCCACCAAGGCAACAAATTTGGCGCAGTGATCAAAAAACCGCATCAAGGAATCGTTAACTTCAACCTCCACCTCTGAAAGCAAACGCGGGCCTCAGGAATGCAGCCGGGAGAGGCATCGCCGTCCCCAAGGATACGGGGCCCGGCCACCCAGGCACCCTCCCGGGGACAGCCC